TTTTTCATAGGACCTGAAACAGTACCTACTGGAGCTTGGAGAGACGAACGTGTATAGAACTTTGCTGAACGTTAACAATCTGGAGTTAGTCGACTTTCGCTGGGCTGAGGGCAACTGGTCTGCCTGCTCGGTCCCCTGCTCAACCAGAGAAGAGACTGGAAGGATGGTAATTTCAATTCTACTGCTTTACACATCAGCGATTTTTCACCTCTATTTCAGTTTCGACAAGTCCAGTGTAGCATCACGATCAATGGCTATGTCAACTATGTTAACGACGCGATTTGCATTCGAGCTGGATTTACAAAACCTCATGACACGCAATTTTGCGGTCTGCAGCCATGTCCCGAATGGTCAACAGGCAACTGGAGCACAGTAATTAAATGAAGGATCTCATGACGTCAATGTTGCGGTCCCCTTTTAGAGAGAGGCGACATTACTTAACGGGTGTTCGGCGAATCGACTGATTCGTTTCTATTTCTTTCTTACTTCACTGTTCACTGATTAGTCTAGATCTACAAAATGCGCTAAAACCATCAAGAATATCAACTCACCCATGACGGTTAGTAATGCAAACGTTAGTTCTAGATTTCATGAATTTTCTAAAGTAATTTTTGATACCTTTGATCAGTCATTTCTGTTACCATTGCTGCATTAGCTGGTGTTGGTTTTCTTGCGCTCTTTCCACAAAACAGTCTCCTACCTTCCGTAATTAATTTCAGAGCATAAACGTAATGACTTCCTAGAGAACCTGACAAATTTCTACCTCGAACTAAGTTAAACGAAATAGTGCATTTATATAAATCCGGTTCATAACAAACGTGATGAAAGAAGGCGATCACGATCTTGTACCCCTGTAACGGAGTCACCCAACTCCCCGGGACTTCGCCGCACGAACCGCAGTATTCGACATAATTAATTACTGCAGCACGTTTGCCCACAAGAACCATATTTAATATGATACAGCAGCGAATATACATATACAATCTTCAGACAAAGTTCAGACAAACTTTATCGGATGCCTGTTTCTTTCTCTTTAGTGACAAACGCCTGTCGTCTAATCGTGTTATTCATTTGCAGCCATAACATTCTCCTGCGGTACCGTTGGCGATTTGCAGGTTTGAATTCGAACAATTTCTTTTGAGAATTAGGCAAACAGTGTTTATTGTCGAAATATCTTTTCTTATACAGGTTTGCCTAAAAGACATAAAGAAGACAATCAATGCCTCATTAGTATATAATTTCAAATTCATCATAGATATTTATGGCGAAAAATTATACTTCCTATTTTGCTTCGCTTTGGCATGTGATCTTCTCATTTAATTTTTGTCGTCTCTCCCCTGACGGGTACAAGAATGGATAAGTGAAAGTCGATGATAGTCTTGAATGTGCAGTGGTTGCTTTCTGGTCGAAGCTGCGAGCATAATGCAAAGCAGTTGCAATAAAGTAAGATACTATCTTCCGATGTAACGGTGTGTTGCTCCAGCGCAAACTTCAGAGGTCAATGGGTTCACTTAAGATTAGCAACTGAGATATTTTCCAACAGTTCGGTTTACGGTTCATCGGTTTCTTTACGGTTACAATGCATTTAAACGAGAAGTTTCAGGTATTAACTTCGAGTGATCAAATTTTTCCACAGTCCGTCAAATAATATTGCAATCCCTGAACTTCCTCCAGGAACATCGCTAAGCTTCCTGAACAATTTCGAATCTTCTAAGCTTCAAATTCCTGCGCAAAGGCATATTGCGCTTTACGTTCGCTGTTTAGAAGAATCCTTTCTCCGCACAACGTCATCTTAACTCGTATACAGTTTGAAGAACTTTTAAGTTTCGCAGAATCCCGCATATTGAACTTAAGCTCGCAGTCCTCGTAATTCGGTTTCGATTAATGATTTAAGCCAAAATTCGTTCTCAAACGGATACTTTTTTCTTTTCATGGCGGGTGTAATCAAAACTATTATAGTGCGAGAGTGGTCGATGCATTAGGTTCTCGACAGCCGTTCAGCGACGTCAAGTTTATTGTCAGTATTCGAACGGCACGCGTGCCAATGATAGTTCATGCAACCGAACCGCGAAGCCACGCATGAAGAAAGAATGCTTAAATAGAAGTTGTGTGGCTGAATGGCGTCCTGGGCCTTGGACAATGGTAAGAATGCATGCACTGTTCGGGTTTACTTGAGCAGACGCATGGCACAGAAAAATCTATATCGAACACAGAAACCCAACCGTAATTATTGTGTTGGTACTTTAGCACTAATTTTATCTGATTTCGCTAGCATTAACTTTAAAATCAATCGATAAGTCACGTATTTTCTACTGTACTTAAATAATTGGGAATCTGAGTCACTTTCGTGCAACCCTATTTCAGGTATTTTCGTTGTTTAAAACTTAAAATATATTTGCATAAAGTAGTTGGTTTTTGGATGTCAGACCTACGTGTAACACCATTATAATTCATTCTTGAATAATGATTTATTACCTTTTATTGTTCTTGCAGTTAATTGAAGTTCACCGATATTTTAAAAAGTTAGCCATCATACTGATATGCAAAGGGACACTAAATGCTGCAAGTGGCTCCATATTTTCTCTGATCATCACTCAACTGCTAATTATCCTGTTGTAGTTTAAAAATGTTTGTTTTCCATGCAAAACGTTTGACACCACTTTATAGCATGCTTGAATGCCATAGAACGTATGCTCGACGTACTGATTGTCATATTAAGCTTCAGTAATCTTGAAAATCCTGCTGTTCAAAGTTTCTTACGCTGATGTGATGGTAGAAAAACGCATCACAGTATGACTGTCGACCTATACTGTACCCGACGCAGATTCACCAGATTTGAAATCGACGACGCTTTTCGTGATTAGTAAGCAAACAGATTAATTTTTCCAACGTTTTGATATGGCTCATATCTATGTCAATCTGCTTAGACTGATTATGACAAAACTATGGCGATGTATTTCTGAATTTCGCAAGAACAAAACCCGATTCTCAAACAGAGTCCGTCGAGGCACTTGATCTGACAATTTTTAGCCTTTCATGGATCTTCAGCTGGTCGATTGAGCAAATAGCAACTGTTTCATTTTCCTTTTGGAGTATACGCAAAATGTAAACCCATGCAATCAAAGCTATTAGTTTTCAGTCTGAAAAAGCAGCGGCTACATGCCAAAACTTTCTTGGATATCTGAACACCAGAGCATATTGAGTCGCGTCAGCCAGGTGCTTGGTTTAAAAAAGTCCGTTTAAGCCGCTTTTCAGTCGTGATCCACGCCACATGATCATATATGTGCATAGGGACGAAAATATCTTAAACAGAGGAAGCTTCACCTTTAAAGTTAGTCGTGCAGTAGTCACAACGGTTCAGTATCTTTCAGAGAACGCTCCTGTCAATTCCAATTGGCCAGACGATCTCTTTTCCCATTTCATCTTCAATAAGCAATATTTCAAGGTGCGTTAATTTCTTCACCTGTACACTTCTTTTCTGTTTATCTTCAGAGCGCAACAGGCAAGGGAACAAGAAAAAACGGACTTTTCACTTTAAGCGCATTCCCACCTGTGCCTATCATGTCGCACTCGGCTGTGACCTTTTCCAGAGAGAGAGTTGGAGATCAGTTTCAGACAAATAACAAAATAAGGTTGTCTACAAACGGTATTCTTCTCGCTATACATATTTTGTTCGCCGCTCTGGCTGCGTCTGACTATCATATTCATGTACAAAACAAACTGCAAAGTGAATAGACTGCAACCTTGGCGGATATTAGCGTCAAAGGTCTCAACTTAACGCGATTTACTCTAACGCAACACCTGCTAGAAACACATCTGTGACTTAAAGATTCGCTACGACTGGCCATTGACTTCATGCATCTGCAGCTACGCCCATAGCTTATTGCTCAGGATTCGGTC